ACCTAGGTCTGAAATTTGATAGGATCCTAACATACAACCTACATCTAGAGGGAGTGAAAAAATAAACTAAAAACATGCAACAACATTATTGGCTATGGTTAAGTTAGCTAGCACCTGGCATCACCTGGGGACCAACAGCTGTAGAACAATATACATTTGTGATTTCTATTGTAATAAGTATTAATGTTACCTATTATAATTTATTATACCTACTATAACCTATATTTTATACATCTTATTACTTGTTTAATTAGTTGACTATTTATCTTAATTATTATCATATCTATTTATTTGTTTAATTTTACTAATTTTAACACTTTTCATGTTATTTAAAAATAAGTTTAATATGTCATATGCAAATATAAATATAATTTAATATAATACATTTAGTTTCTTGTTATTTAAATAGTTACAACCCTCAATGACAAATTATTATTAACTAAGCATAATATAATATTTATTTATTTATTTAAGAAGATGATGTGCACCACTGAACATGTCCATGTGAGGCCCCATGAGTTCAAAATTAAAAATATAAATTCAATAATTATTAAATATAAAATTAAAAGATTACAATTTCCAATAAAAATTTTCATATAAATAAAATATCAGTATAAATAAGTACATATTTTTTCTTTATATATATAATATAATATTATAATAGTATTGTGTAAAAAAATTGTCTAGTTAAATAATACATAATATTTATAATACTAAATTTATTAATAATTAATAAAATTAATTAACCAAGTAAATAATACAATAATCCAATAGATTTATTGTAAGTCTGTCGTCTATATTTTGTTCTTGTAGTAAAATAGTAATCAAAGTGTAATTTTTTTTTTTTAAGAATCTTGAAAGAGTTGTTTGTTTAATTTCTAACGGTAATATATTGTAAATTTTTAGACCCATATGTAAGTATATAGATTGTGTTAATTTTTTATGCATAGTTGGTACTTTGATAATAGATACTTGTCGAGTATTATGTTTATGTTTAGTTTTAAAAGTTATGTTATTTTTAATTATATATACTACTGAAGCTTTGTAAAATAATTTTTTACTGGTAGTACATTTATATCATTGTATAAGTATTTTGTGTGTTACATAAAATCTTTTTTAGAATAATTTTTAGTATTTTATTTTGTATTTTTTTTTTTAATGGATCAATAGTTGTTTCATAGTACCTCCCCATATAGAAATACCCTAATTAATATTATGGATTCTATTAATGCTTGATATTAGTATTATTACCAATATTTTTATTTTATTTTCACAGTGTAATCAGTGTTCATCAAATAAAAATAAAATTAAAGAATTAGAAGCTGAAATAAAAATACTTAAAGAAGAAGTGTCAAATAAACAAAAATTATTAGATAGTATTCAAAGTTTTGTAAGTGATGAACAGCTGAAATCATTAGAGAACCCTATTAGGAAATGGAGCAAAGATACAATTGTTAAAACTCTAAAGTTAAGATATGCACTTGGTATTCATGGTTATAATTATCTTCGAAATAATAATTTCCCTTTACCATGCTATAACACTCTCGTTTATCGTGTCCGTCATTTAAAATTGTCTTTTGGTGTTTTCAATGACATTTTTGAAACCTTACAATTTAAAGTAAGTGAAATGGATCTTTCTGACAGACTTTGTTTTTTATCAACGGATTCAATGGAAATCAGCAAACAGCTTACATATAATAAAAATACTGCAGAAGTTGGTGGTTATTGTACTCTTGGAGATAGTGAAAAAGGGAAAACAGGAAGTAAACTTTTATTGGCTGTTATCCGTGGTATAAAATCAAAATGGAAGCAAGTTATTGGATGTCATATTACAGGGACCACAGTGGATGGACTTGCTATGAAACAATTTATTAATGAATGCTTGTCTGCGTGTAAAAATGCTGGATTACATGTGATCTCGTATGGGTCTGATATGGGTCCAGAAAATCGTAATCTGTGGAATAAACTTGATGTTAAAGTTCAACGAGAGGGTGTTAGGCAAAATTATTTCATATCTGATGAATCAAATATTTTTATAGTACCAGATGTTTGCCACCTTTTAAAAAACTTGAAGAATTCAATGTTAAACAAACCTATAATACTACCTGAATCATACTGTGAAAACTTAAACCTACCTACTCGATATGTGACCGGAGAACATGTTAAAACATTATGGAAGTGGGAAACTGATAATAAAAAAGAGTTACGGTTTCTGTGCCACTTGAAACAAGAATTCTTATTTCCTGACAATTTTCAAAAAATGAATGTTTCTGCTGCTGTTCATTTCTTTTCCATTAGGACAGCATCGGCTTTAGAAACAGCTGTTAAAAATAATGTGTTGCATAAAGATGCATTAAGTACCGCACATTTTATTCGCACATTTCATGAATGGTTTTCTTTGTTATCCAGTAAAGTACGAAAAACCAGTATCACCAAAAACAATAAAGAAACAAAGTATACATTTTTAGAAAATATTATAAATCTCATTGAAGAGACTCAATTTGATAAAGGTTGGAAACCTTTGAATACTGGTATTATTATGGCAACTTTATCTTTCATTGATATATGTGAAACATTATTTCTAAAGTTTAATTATGACTTTGTACTGGGACATCGTTTTACTCAAGATGCACTTGAAAATATATTTTCTAATATTCGTCTAAAAGCTGGTAGAACTCCAACTTCCAATCAGTGTCTTCAAGCTTTAAAAGGGATTTCTGTTTCACAGTATCTATCTGATATTGATCATAGCAACTATGCAAATGATAGTGATTATTTCTTATTAGATTTCTTTCAGAAAAAAAACCAAAATTTAGATTATACTCAAAATCAATTATCTCTTACAAATTTCCAAAAAAATTTCTCAGACTTAATATTCAAAACTAAAAATTTCAATACCCTAATATCTTATTTCGATTCATCAGATTTAAACAATTTATATTTTTTAAGTGGAAGTGCAATACATTATATAAAAAAGAATTGTTGTGAATCATGTTATACATTGGTTGTTATGTCTTCCGAAGAATCTTGTGTAAATTTAGAAATGAAATACTTTACAGAATCTATGGATAAAGGAGGTCTTGCACATCCTTCCTTGTCTATAATTGAATTAATTTTAAATTGTGAAGTAATTTATAGAGAACATAGATCATTTATTTTGCATAATTCTACAAAGTTCTTAATAGACAAGATATTTTCTGAAATACAGATTAATATTCCAATTTGTACTACCACCAAAAACTGCAACACAAAGTTCTTAATAATTAAATATTTTTTTACAATTCGTGGGTACAGTATAAGTTCTTTAAGTATTGCTAAAAAAAGAAAGATGACTTATGGCACAGCCAGTGTAAAAAAAAAAAATGTATTTCTTAATTATCTTAATTATTTTAATAAAATGTCTCCCATTCAGTCATAGATTTAGAAGTATACCAAAAATCAATAACAAAAGATTAACAAAAAAAAAATTACAAAACAATAAAATAATAGGAATTCAATAATTATTAATCATTATATTTGTAATAAAAAATAAAAATATTAACTTTTATACTTTGTTTTTTTTCCTAGATCACTAATCTTATAGTATATTCACTGGTATCTTTTAAATCAGAATTTGATTGTAACTGTAGTAACTGCTTATTAAATAAATGTTTTCTATTAATAAGAGTATTTTTCAGTGCTGTCAAACGCTGAATTTCTTCTTCTGATTTTAAGTGCTTTTCAAAACATTGTGGATCTTTGGGCTGAAAATATGACATAATTTAACATTAATTTAAAGTTAAAATGATATAAATAAAGCTATCTATTTGGTAGTACATAATTAAAATGAAATTATCTTATATTGATTACAGTAAATTAATACAAAGTAATAGTATAAATAATTAGTCAGAAGATTCTAATAACTACGGCAAAATGCATTTTATATATTTTTATAGACACATGTTTTGCTTTTTAAAATGTTTATATTTTTATTATTTCTAATTTATACTAAATTTTGTTAACCACAATTTTTGGTAGACATGTTACACTAATACACTACTAATATAACAGTAACTTCAGGAAGTGACCAATGGACTGTTTACTATCAGTTAGAAACAAATATAATTTTGAAAAGAACATAAAAATGAGTGATACATTGAATAATGTTCTTACTTTGGTTAATGAATTCGATAAATTTGCTGGTATATCCATATTGTCTTCAGCTATTTAATATTAATTAAAGCCGCAATTGAACTATATTTACAAATAGTTCTGGTACAAAAATTATAATAAAAAAATATATATTTGACAAACAATTAAAATAATACCTAATAATAAATGAGTTGCTAGGCCATTGAAATTAAAGAAAATTTAAAATTATAATAAATTAAACACATTTTATAAACGTACATAAAAAAATAATATACACAATAATATGTGAATAAATTATGATACCTAGTTGATAAGAAAATTGAAAGGAGAAAAATGGCGGCTTGGTATACCCATCTCTACAGTGCCTTATCTACGGTATTTCGGTGGTAATCAACGCACTCTATTGGTGTTAAATGGATGCTCGGTGCAGAATATAAATTCAATTTTTTATTATAATCACAATCGTGGTATATATAAATAGTAGAAGCATAGACCTTATACCACACGTCTTATACGAGATCCTAAGGTCTATGAGTAGAAACACGATTAAAGATATATCGTGAGTAGAAGTTAAAAAATCAAGCTGATAGGCGCGTGTTTAATGCTTATCACCTGACACCTAACACTTGATGATAATAATAATAATATAATATATTAATATATATTATATATCCTATTAACTAGGTAAAAGTCATAGTTATATGGAAGTTGTAAAATGTTATAGTTGCATCTTATAAGAATTGTAGACTTGTAGTTAACTTGTCAAATGATTTAATTTTATCACTCTTGGCAAATTACTTATTTTAGATTTATATTTATCGTTTTATAGATATTTTAGAAAAAAAAAAATTTTAAGTTAAATGATAAATTATTATTTATGAAACGTTTTTTTCATATAAATACCATCAAGTATGTCAATAAATCTATTAAAACATATTATCACAAAAAGTTGTATAAGAAGCGGAATATATAATATAAAACACATGAGTACGGTAAATAATGAAAAGCTGTAAGTACAGACCTTAATAAACTTTTAATATTAATTCTAGTAAAAAATGTTCTAATTTGTTATTTTTATGAATTTAAACAAGTAATACTTGTTTTTCTAATTTAGCTAGGACATGTAATAAAATTCAAAATTATTGAAATCTCATTAATCGTTATATAATATTATTTGTTAAAAAATGTTCACAACTAAGAAAATTGTTGCTGTAGATAGCTTTAATATATGTTATAACTTGTTCTTCACTACATTTCATTTTAAAACAACAATTTGATAACTAGATTTTATTATATATAAAGTTATTTTTAATAACTTATTATTTGTAATATTTTGTGTATACTAATTTAAAATTGAATGATACTTTTTCTTCATTTTTTGATAAAATGCAACTTTATTCAATCTCAACAATGTACCAAAATATAAAATATTTTCTTTCTTAGTAACTATGAATATATTTTTAATTTTTAGTATTAAAGTAATTTTTAACAAAGCCAATGGCGACAAAATTACTGCTGAAGGCAAAAAAGGAGATTCTTTGTTGGATGTCATAATCAATAATAACTTAGATTTTGATGGATATGGTATGATCCTTAATTAATAAAATAAGTATTTATTACTGTATGCTTTTATATGTTATATTAAACTTCATTTTTCAGGAGCATGTGAAGGTACATTAACATGTTCTACATGCCATGTGATTTTAAATTCTAAGGATTATGATTCATTACCTGATAAACCCTCGGACGAAGAACTAGATATGTTAGATTTAGCATATAACTTAACTGATACGTAAGAAATTTTTATTAAACTTTTATTATAATAGTTTTGATTTTTAATAAATACTAATTAACTATTATTTCTATTTCGTACTAGTGTTTGTCAAAACATTAAATTATTTATCTTTACCAAAATCAATTATGTAATTATTATTTTGTTATTAATAACTGTACTTAATTAATAGACTGGTATAATAATATTTTGTATTTATAGTATTTTATAATTAATCCCTCAAAGAATTTAACAAGTTTTATTGTTTTAAAATTAAATTTACAATTTAATCCTGGTTTAAGAACATATTTTTAAACAATAAATGTAAGATTCTATGTTTCATTGGTCAATTAAAATAAATAAAACACTATACACTGATTCCTTTTTTTAAATTAACTTTCTGTAATATATAAAACTATAGCTGCAAATGCTAAATTTATTATAATTTATTGATTAGGTACCAACCTAAATTAATCCTAATTTTTTACCTTTTTTGTTAAAATATATATTTTTGCTTTGAAACTTTAAATTAACTAATTATTTGTGTTATCATCGCTTATAAGAAAACTATTATGCTACATAATTATTGTTAATGAAATCATATTATCTAATTTTAACTTAAAACTTAATTCATTAAGTTTATAAAATGTCAATTTATTATTTTTAGTGTTACAGAGACATATCAAATTAATAAACTAATTCCTAACCAAACTTAAATGTATAATTAATATTAATCATAGCTAGTATATAATTTTGTTTCAGATCTCGATTAGGATGTCAAATAATTTTAGAAGAAAAGTTGGATGGCTTAGAAGTCAACGTACCAGCTACAGTTAATGATGCTAGGTATAATTAAAAAGTATATTAAAAAAAATAAATATTTTTTCTTATTTACATTAACATATTATTTATAAACTTTAGTGAAAACTTAAGGGAGAGAGAGGACTTTAAATGTTCAGAAGTTTTTTTTAATTAAAAATTAATGCATTTATTGTTTCACTTTATTTTTTTTATAATTTAAATACTTAAAAATAATACAGTACTAAAATATACAATATAAATTATGTACAAGAACATTAAATGCCTATGAACGATAATTTTAACCAATGTTTAATTTTATATAATTCTTGTAAATAACAAGAATTTATTAGTGTTGACCAATTTGTTGTTATAACCATTTTTTTGTATTTTTATTTTAACTTGAGTATACTATATAATTCTTCTTTAATCGGGCAGGGTACATATAATACTCTTTATAGTTTATAGAACAAATATTCACTTTGGTATACCTCCCATAGTTATGCTCAACATTATTTACTTTCATTTTAAGTTAGTTTCTTATTCTATTGTATACTTGTGTAAGATAATAAGATTGTATTATTATATTTATAATAACTAATAACTGAAAAAGAATATATCAAAATAATTTATCAAGGAAATTTGGAAATAAAGGAATTTTTAAATAATTCTGTTAATTTAATATTTATATGAATATATGTAGTATATTGTGCATCTTACTTATAATACAACTATTTTAATATGTGTTATAATTTATAGTTTATATAAAATATTTATTTTTTTATTATTTAATATTTAATGTATGTTCACATATTTACAAAAAATACATTTTTATTTCAGAGACTAAAATAATGTATGTAAAATTACATTTAGCTATAAACATTGTTTATGTGGAATGTTATCTCCGTTGTTGCAAGTAAATATATATACTTATAAGTATTAATCAAATTTAAATCCCTTTTGTCGAAGGGCTGTTCTTGCTTCTTTTATTTCCTGTGAAATCAAAACATATAATTGAACTTCAATTACAGTTATTAAATATTTTAAGTTACCTCTTGTAATTCCTCTGCAGCCGATTTGCAATCATTGAAAGTAGCCACTCGATACAATATAATTGCCAATGAGAGCACCTAAACACAATTTAATGTTACAATGGTAATTGTAGATATTTTTCAAATTATCATTTGTACTTACTCCAAAAGAAATCAGTAAAATAATTGGAAGAAATTGTATGATTACGAAGTATTCCTTGGAAATTTTACTATCATACTGGTTAAAAAGTAAACTTAACCATAATATAGATAATACATTTACACCGACAACCCACTGAGTTAATTTTTTCATTTTATAGCTTTTCACGCAATCACTCCCGAGTCCTATACACTAATGGAAATATCACAATAAAAGTAAATATTTACAACTAGATTTTCATTTAGCGTCCACTATCCTAAGACAACACTTTGTATAGTTAAATAAATGAATATTGGTCGAGTAATACTAAAAAAATGTAAAGACGTATTGTACAACGTGCACTATCGTCCGTCACCTCGGCGGCTCAGCTTATACAATAATAGATAAGAGTAAAGTATAGATAAGACATAAGTGTTATTTGGTGTTCAAGCACGGCGCTTGTTTTGCTGTTGGTTCTCGTATGGGTAGCTGCTGTGATCGCCACTGTCGATTTCAGTGATTGAAAATAACATCACCGTGGCTATGTTGCATGAACCCGTGAACGTGCCCTGAATTTCGGTGATAGCTTATGTGCTATTTTCCGTACTCGATAACTTGGTAAGTTTGTTCATCAACCAATCAGAAAAAAAAAATAGAATCTTGTCACGTATGCTCATAACCATAAAGTAATAATCAATGATCATAGATAATAATATAAAAAATAACGCTAATAAATTATAATGTTCATAACTGTGATAACACTGTATACTGATGAGTTATTTACTTATTAGTGATAAATGATAAAATCTAAAAGTCCAGCCGGCAACGCAACATATGATGCCAACATAGCAGCTCACAGCTCACGTCTCCCTATACAGTAAAATAAGCCTTATGTCCGAGTGTCCGGCAGGCTTTAGCCTTTAATCATTTTATAGTACAACTTTGGAATTTAGATAGTATAGTACTATAATTGCCGGAGTTACTGTGTTTATTTTATATGATGTTTATGTATTACAAAGTTCCCCTGAAAAGTTGAAACTAACTTGGCTTATTTTACCTAAATTTCTGTAGTGCTTTCCAATCAGTTTTTTTAATAAAACCTTTTAGTCACGATTTAAGAGATTTAAATAATTTTAAAATAATTACTCTATGGAGGTAACCGTTGATAATTCCATGGTTAAAAACCCAAAATTATTGAAGACATTTAATAGGGGTCGTTTTAAAATAGGTACGAACGTTACTTATATCTGAAACGTAAACGATAGGTGCGGTATATTTGATATATTGACAAAATAAGGTATTAGACAAAAAATTATGCCAATATTCCTCCGCCAGGTTAGTTCTTCCCGGCGGAATTTCTTAGAGAAGCCCGGAAATCACCGTTTTTTTGGAACTCGACATAAGCTTAGAAGGTACCATTGGATGTGGAAGGGGTAACCATTTGTGAAACCGGGGAAGGATGAAGAACCCGAACTCCAAGTAATATTTTTGTTTATTCTTTATTTCAGATAATTTATTTGATTATTGATGTAACGCAGATTTGTAAATGAAGAATCATAACCAATTGAATTGTGAGAAATGATCATGGAAATATTGACATCGAACTAATCGTTGGGTATAGGTGGATCATGAACGGGGATCTATGAAAAATATTAAACTTTTCTTTTATAATTATTTTTGTTGAATAGGACAGCTTCTAAAAAAGATATATTTTTTACATCCATGAATTTTTTTAATGTTCTTCTGTTTGATCCACTCTGGGAAATTTTGATCTGGTGAAATTTAGTTGCCCTTGCAATAAAATCTAGGTAGGATCCGAAACAGAGACTATTGAATACGAAAGAGAGTTGTTTTTTTTTATTTCAGAGCAATGTGAGCACCGTGCTTTACTATGACAGAATCTTTACTTTGTAAATTAAAATGAAATCTTACTAAGATAGAGATAAGGATTTCAATTCAACTTTATTGAAAGTACGCATATTGTCGTTAACTTCACGTGAGATAATACTAAATACGGTGAAAGGATGTAACATAATGTGCTAGGAGACCTTCGAAAAACCCCGATTTCGATATTAATTGGTTCAGCCGAATAACGCCTAGGCAGTTGACCAGTATTGACGAGATTGAAAAGTTTTGACTTTTGAGAGGGTTTTCTAAAGGGACATTATATTAGATCTGTATCATTAGATCCTTATATTATACATAAATTGTCGTTTCTCTAATGTAACCCACCTTTCGCTTATTTAGGCATTTTATACATGGGTATTTTCTATAATATCTGAAATAAGGTATCTTACTGGTGTTTTCAATGTTACTAACAGGCTCATTTCCATTCTTCCCTATTTATCCAAGGTTTTTGAACTAATAACTTTTACTAAAATTAAGAGAAGTCTAAATCACATTATTTTAACCAACAAAGTTGACTTTCAGTCTAGAAAGTTTATTGTCGAATATAAATACATAAAATTTTATTTTGATTTGTGATATTAATTCAAAGGGTAATAACATTATAATAGTGTCGCTTATAATTTATATACATACCTACTTGCTGTTTTTACTTCTGTACGAGGTTTCTAAAATTTAGTACATACTAATCATTTCCGATCCATTCTATCTTAGACCTTGGTCTGTGCATAATATTAATCATGGTTTTATGACTTTTATGCCTTAAGTCTTGGATAAATTATCTATGAAAGATGATTAAAAATAATTTAAAATAAACATTTGATCTGTACTATGGAGGTAAATTATGATATGATAAGAAACGTTTCACGTTTGTATTTAATCGTTTGATAATGTTCGATATCGTAATTTTAATTTATAAATTATAACGTAAAAGTTTTAAATTTTTTTCATATCATGTTAAAATGATATTTGAACATTTAATTAATTATTTCATGTCATTAATTAACCTAGTCGTCATCAGACTTGGTTTACGTGATTCCAACAACAGTGACTTGGAAATCGTGTACAAATCAAACGATTTTATTATTGTCAACAAACCTGAAGACATATTTACAAACAATCATAACAAAACAGTCAGTATAATATTATCTAGTACATATGTTGTAATTATATAAAAAGACTTAATCGATACAGTGGTTGAGCGGTAGCCTTTAAATCGTAGGTAATAGACTAAAGACTTATTGTAATAAAATATGTTAGAGTTTATAGTATGTTGGAAAAATATATCTAGATGTAATGGTATACTAGAAAAATCCAGAGACAGTATTTCAAAGATGCATGGTTTAGGGTTTAATTTTTTTTTTGTTAATTACATACTAATTTAGTAGGAAATATTTCAAACTATTATTGACAATGTTGGAAATAAAAAAAATTTATAAAAATGTTTGTAAAAGTTTTCAGAGTTAGAGAAGCAAGCATAGATTATGTTTGAATATTGGCAATACTTTGTGATGTAGTATGATTTTTATTTTTTATAGTTTAGGTTGACGTTATAAACTAATAGAGAATATATTACTAAATAATATAAAAGGATCAATATTTCCTTTCAGCCTCTCCCTTTTTATAATAAATCAAACTCCATAATTTCAACTTATTTTCAATATTATTGAATTCTATTATCACCTACTATTATTTATAATTCTTTTAAAATATTCAGAAATTTGTTAAATAATTAATTTTATAGTATTCTTCCGTAATAGATGAAATATATTATATGGTACCTATTTCTATTTATAAAAATACACAATATTTTAAGATGTATAATAAATGATAAACCAGAAATAAAATTTAACAAAACATATTTTATTTATTTATTTTTGATCAGTTTCAGTATTTTTTATGTAAAAAATTCCCATGATTTTAAGCTTTTAAGTCTAAAAATTTATAATTAAGCCTCTAAATTGATTTATCGAGTAGTTATTGTTAAGTTGTTAAGTATATTGAATCACTATAATTAATTATATACTATTATATTTCTACAGAGGCCGTCCTTGGATGTATTACTTGGAAAGAAATATCCACATTTAGTAAACAGCAAATTAGAACATAGTTTCTATTTTGTACACAGGTTAGACTTTGTGACTAGTGGTGTGTTATGTATTGCTCTAAACAAACAAGCGTGTGCCAAAGCTTCGGGTGCAATGCAAAAAAGAATATCCCGAAAATATTACATAGCGCTAGTCAGAGGACATGTGTCTAAAGACCATTTGGATTTGATCAACCCTATTGGTAATAAACTTTATAATGATAAATGACTAATATAATCTCAAATTTTATTCCTCTTAATTTTTACTTTTTAAAATTATATAATTAATAAACAGTACAAAAAGAAATGTATAAAATAGAATAAATTAATTCATTTAAAATTAATTAGGAATATTAATCTGTAAGAAGAGTTAAACTGACAATAATTATCATATGCACAACCAATAACCACGGGTCCATGGACAGGCAACACTGATATAATAATATAAAAATTGACTAAAATAATTTTAAAATATTTATAACTTAGTTACACTATTTTATGCTATTTACAGTAATGTTTTTTTCAACTTAAAAGTTAATATTGGTAATATATATGATATATATAAATATATTATAGTAAATAATATTAATAAATGCAATATTTTTGGAAATAATTAAATCAACTTACTTATCTACTGCAATACTAAAAGTAAAATAAATAACTCATAGCTATTTTTTAACAAAACATGAAATATGTTTAGTAATATAGGCAGATCGTTTCCACTCAGAATCTGTTTTCATATACAATGATAGGTCATTGAGTTCAAATTTAACACACCTCTTAGTATACCACTTGATACCTATCACCTACGAGTATGTACACCAGAACAGTACTGTACTTGCCTACCATTTTTGCTAATGACCAATTTGAGAACTAAGGAGTAATCAGTGAGCAACTAATTTTCTAGCAAAAAAAAGCATATTTTTTTTATATACATATTAGAAAATATGATGTAGACTCAAACCATTATTTGAAAATACATCCTTGCATTTAACAATGATTGAATCAATTCATTTGAATTGGGGCATTTAATTTTATTTATTAAGAATAATTGTGAGGATAAGTGTACGTTTTTCAGAAGAGACGAACTTATAACATAAAACTATATTAATTATTTGTCTAATATTATTTTATGTGAATTAGTTTAGTAACTAATAAATAAATAAGTATCTGACCAAAAAGGCATACTGTTTATAAAGTTTGGGTCATCACCCAAAGTAAAACGCGGTAACGAGATTTAATTTCTATCTCGATATCATATAATATATCATGATAATACATATCCAATAATTTTTTTACAGGGTACTGTGCTAGAGAAGCGAATGGAAATCATAAAATGTGCACCGTGGACGAAGAATGTTGCACCGAACCTCGGGACGCACACACCCGGCTAATAGTGTTGGAGCGTGGCGTGTACATGTCGTATCCCGCGACCAAAGTCCTGTTACAGCTCGTCACTGGCCGACGTCATCAACTTCGGGTGCACTGTTCAACTATTGGCCACACGATCGTCGGTGATTACACGTATAGCGGTCGCAAAGACACGAGTCCTTGCCGTACGTTTCTTCACTCCTACAGGTGGGTTGTGTTGGCTGTGAATAGCAATCCGACCGGAGGTCTTGTAGACCTTTAGGTGACGTGGCGGCCAAGTGCTAAGTAAAAGTAATACGGATCTTGGACTATTTAATATTTTCATCAAAGATTTTGAATTTGTGTATTGTAATCTAAGTTAATATATATTATTGACTATTAAGCATACTCAAATAAAAATATTTCTGGACTAGGGTCCTGCGAGTCAAAAATAGTAAATAGTAATATATTATTCTATGAGCGTTTTTATTCATGCTATAGAGTTTCGCTTATAAATCGTATGATGATAAAATTAAAAATTATAACAATGACAATTGTATTATAAAATGGCTGTGTATACTGATTTGTTTCAGACTGGAATTAGGTGTCGACGGCATAAACGTCCAGACGAATGATCCGTTTACTGAAGCCAAACTTAAAGGTTTATGGATCCCAGTGGAATACGTGAACAGAGTAGGAGATGATTGTTTTCGACTGTTTGGTAGCTGCAGCTGACGTTCATTAATTGTGATTTCAGAGTATCATACCATATATTCATGTACATATCAACATAATAGCCTATTTTATTTAATATATTTAACACCTATAGTAGTATTCGGTAAAAATATCTAAAGTATATAAACTTTTCTCTAATGATTTTTAGTCGCTTCAGTTATCTAATAATAATACCATCATAGTATAATGAAATAATAATATAATTAAAGTTCAGTAAGTTCACCAAACTTTTCATATTCTGTGACCAAACTGAGTTCATAGCGTATACAGTATGTTAGACATGTGTACCTACTACCTATCTATTATCTATAATTCGAATATGATACGTTGATATCTAAGGAATTAGAACTTCACATAATCCATATTATTTGTAAAAAAAATTAGTACCCAGTTATGTTTAAAACAGTTTAAAATCTAGTTCAATTTCAATGGTAATATGTATACACTTGAATCGTATTAGTTAAGTTTAATTTACAGAGTATAACATTGTCTGTTTCTTAATTTAATTATCATTTACATTTTTAAATTTGGATATTTAGGCATAGAAACATATATTACGTAAAATATAATTTGTTATTATTTTTGATATGATCCAGTTATTTTTATGTAAATTCAAGGTGGATATATCCACCTTGTGTAAATTATTAAATAAATGTATGTTATCAATATGTTTATCAACTATTATTTTTCGTCAATAGCCATAACACAGAATAAAAATGTTATCACATTTTGACATTATCAACGAAGTTAAGAATTGTTAAATAATAAATAGCTATTACTGCAATATTTATATTTTAGACGATTCTGGAATTCAGATCGGGATTTAAAAAAATTTCAAAATTCACCATGATATCTTCGGGATTTAGTGGCGCTTTAAAATTAACAGATTTAGATGATTTTATCACACCGTCCCAGGTGACTACTTAATATTATTTTTTTAACATTAATACTGATTACTAACGTTTTGTAGGAGTGTATAAAACCTGTGAAATTTGAAAAATCATCACTCGGAACAGGAGCAAAAATCAAAATTGGAGATGATGGTTCTTATGTTCAAGAATCCAAAGTAATTGTTTAAATAATAATCACATACATTTAATTTACTATCAAATAGCGTAAAGCAAGTCCTGATGAAACTATTTCAAAGTTTACATAGCTATATGGTTATATTATGTAACATACTATTAGTGAAAAGCACCTGGGAATTAAAATTAGCGTTTATTCAACTATGAATTAATATCACTTGATGTGGAGCAGAAATTAGACCGTAGCGATTGCTCTGCCATCAGTATATATGTGCAAAACCAGTATTTTCTCTTACTAAACAGATAATTCAATTTAGATGTGTAGTTAGTCTTAAGTGTAGTCCTAAAGATCTGTATTGTGGTTTTAAATATTATCTAAAATAGAAAATGGTAAAAGATATTTTATCTTATTGTGTATTGACATTGAAATAGTATAGTAGCAGCACTTGATTACTCCATATCCAGTACTATTAGATGATCTATGCGCAGTAGAGAAAATTTATGCTATCATTTATCGGAGTATCACCTAAAATTTTATGTTATCAAACTAAATTTTATGAAACTTTTGATAATAATTAATATTTTTAAATATTTTCTGGTTTAAAATAAAGTAGTTTAAATCAATATCTGGCAAATTATTCTTTAAAGAATATTAATCTTTCTTTGAACATGTGTATTAATTTAATATTGAAAATATTTAACTTAAAATTTTGATTCGATTTTTTTTAAAAAAAATGGCATCTTAAACTATTAATTTTGGAGTAATTTACTGTATGATTTCTTTAAATTTGAACAATAAAATGATTTTATTTTCACAGAATGGTAAAAGCGAAAAATTAAAACAGGTTGAAATTTCATTAACCGATTGTCTAGCATGCAGTGGTTGTATAACTTCAGCAGAAACTGTTCTAGTTCAACAACAAAGTACTGATGAAATGATGCGTGTTTTTGATGCACAAAATGTAAGATTAGTTTCTGCTCATAAAAAATATTTATTATTATATTTTCATAATACATAGTCATTTTTCTCATATTCTAGGTACTCGATAATAAAAAATTCATAGTTGTTTCTATTTCTATACAATCATGTGTATCAATTGCAATAAGTAAAAATATTACAGTTGAATGTGCTGCATCAAAATTATGTGGTAAGGTTTTGTTTATTTTAGTGATTTATTTATGATGTAAATTGTTTTAACATTTATATGATAAATATCAAAAATTAATATATATCTGTCTAACTATTTAATTAGGTTTTCAAAATATAGTCGAAGTATAATGTTGTTTTACTGTATCATAAAATAAATGTGAGATATCTAACTCTTAATAAATATTTTATTGTTTTTATACAAAATGAAAAGTTATCAAATCTTTGTACTATACTCTATGTATTAGTAAGTACTTATTAGTATTGTATTTTTTTTATTTATGATATTTAAGGGTATTTCAAGAAATTGGGCGCTGACTTGGTATTAGATATAAAACTTGCTGAAGACTTAGCATTATTAGAATCTCAGAACGAATTTATAGAAAGATATAGATTAGCTAAAGCATCAAAAATTCAAAAAATATTACCAATGTTAGCATCCTCATGTCCAGGTAATTTAATTAAATCTAATACCATAACTATACTCTCTCCCACAAGAGAAAATGCTGGATAATACTAAAAACTGGTCAGTTAAATTGAATCCTCTGTAACATCACACATTGTGATCTCACTAAATTCCAAATTGCGACTTCAAAGCCTGGCATGTTCTCTCGTTGGACAGAGTATAGCAACTAATGTTCCAATATTAATTATTTTGTTTTTAGGTTGGGTGTGTTATGCAGAGAAAACTCATGGAAATTTTATACTACCATACATAAGTCGTGTAAAATCCCCACAACAAATTATGGGTTCATTTATAAAAGATTTTATTTCAAATTTGAAAAATAAACCTAGAACTGATATATACCATTTAACAGTTATGCCTTGTTTTGACAAAAAGTTAGAAGCATCAAGGGATCAATTTTTTGATGTAGACAGTCAAACTAAAGATGTTGACTGTGTAATTACTTCTAGTATGTATGAATCTTAAATAGAATTATAGAACATATTGAATACATTTTATTGTACATTTTAGTTGAAGTGGATGCATTATTGGTCAAACAAGACATTATTTTTGATGACATAGTTCCTGTAAATTTTGATACAGTGATAAATAACTTAACAGAAGATAATTATAATTTGTTTACAAATAGTGGTTCTGGATCTGGAGGATATGCCCATCATATATTTTGTAATGCAGCAAAGGAATTATTTAATATTAATATTGACAAAGTTGAATTTAAGCCTCTACGGTTTGTATTAAACTTTTATGACTCTAATAAATTTCTGAATAAGTAATACACAAAACTGTTTTAGGAATATTGATATGAAAGAAGCTACATTAGAAATTGATGGAGTAGTTGTTCTGCGATTTGCTATAGCTAATGGTTTTAGAAACATACAAAACCTTGTCCAAAAATTAAAAAGTAAAAGATGTCCATATGATTATGTTGAAGTGATGGCTTGTCCTTCAGGTTAGATATATTCTTTTAATCATTTATTTAATAACATTTATACATATTTTATATACAAATATTTTTAGGATTTAAAGCTATGAAATAAACTTTTTATATTTTGCTTGGTGTTTAAAAGGCAAAATTATAATAAAAAAATATCTTATAAAAAAATGTTTAGTATTTATAATATTTAACTACTTGATTGATTTTAATAGGCTGTTTAAATGGAGGAGCTCAAGTGAAACAAGTGGAATTCAAGCCAAATAGAGAATTCATAAATGCTTTAGAGAATATTTATAATGAGTTACCTAAAAGCAATCCAATGGAAAGTAACAATGTAAAATATTTATATTCAAATTGGTTAAATGAAAACAACAAAAATGATCACTTATTTACAACATATCGAGAAATTAAAAAGAATGATCAGCCTTTAAATATTAAATGGTAGATAAATAATAAAAAAAGTTATTAAGTGATTTTTAAGTATTTTATTATTTTGTATATTTCTCCACATTTTTTTTTTTTTTTGTAAGCCAATATATTTTATGTTTGCAATTGTTTTAATATTAAATAAATGCTTTACCTATAAAATATTTGGTAATATTTACATAAATTTTCTTACAAATATTTTAAAAAAAATTGTGTACTTTATAAAAGAGCCGGATTTAGAAGTGGGTAACTATAGCCTCAGTGATTCTACTTTAGAAGAGCCCTCATAGGTCACAACCATCAATTAAATAATCTTATGTTATAAAATAATATGTAAGATTAAATTTGAGAAATTATCAATTTTTTATAATTACTTTAAAAATTTATATAAAAATGTTATTTGAACTTCCAGTTAATAACAAACTTTAGAATTCTTAGAATTGTTTTATTGATTCGTGCTGTCAGGCTGTTTATATTATTTTGATTGTTTAATTAAATGACAGGTGATATTTTATTTTGTTTTTTTATTTATTATTTTTTCTGTTAATAAATTATTAAAATTATTGAAAGAAAAAATAACTTAACTTGTAAAAAAAATTATTAGGAGCTTCACTCCTCTAAATCCGGTCCTGTTTTATAGTTTGTTTAAATTTAATTACTTTATAACAACAAATGACAAATTTAAAAACTTCTATAAAAAATATAACTATACAAAGAAGTATACTCTGTTCAAGTTAAGAAATATAGTGGGCAGTTAACTATTGTGCAAGGGTGCAGATTCATTATACATGGTAAGCTTATAGATGGTTGACTTGGTAAGGATAAATAAATGGGTGTTGTTTAACCACTGCTCAATGAAAGTTAGTCACTGCTGAAGTGCTGACTATGTTTCTTAAATTGAACAGAATGTAGTATTACCTTACAAAGATACTAGCACATCTATAAATTGAAACAGAATATTGGTGAGTAAGGCTCAGGATAGAGTGTATTTGTATATTTATTGGGAAAATAAATGGAATAAATACTGATTCAATACATATTGGTTTTATATTATATATTATACCATTATATAATTATATATATATATATTATTTTTTTTAGTTCTCAAAATTAGAAAGAATTATTGGATAAGTAGAATTTGGCACAATTTTCAGTTTCCTTAAAATTTGGGTAAGACATAGAAAGTCGAAAAATGACCTTAACTCGATTCTATGATAGCTAAAGTTATGGTACACTATAGTTTATTAGACATCTATACACTAAGTCTAAAGCTCGGAAAAAAAGTATTTACTAAAGAAAATAAACTATGAGACAAAATTAAATTGTATCACTTACAGCAATGCAATATATTGTGTCACATATGTAGAAATTATCTTATAATGGAATTCCATTTATATACTTCCAAAAATTAAAATTTTTTTCGCCGAGTGTTATCATTAATTTGTAAATTGTAACTCTAAAACATTATGTTAATTTCTAGTTATTTATAAATTTAATTCTATTTTAGTCTATTTACGGAGTCTAGTCTTATCGTTAGCAATCCGACCTGCAGCTTCACCTTGCGAATAAAGTCTAATTTTTAATTTTAAAGACTAAAAACTAAAACATATTGCTTATAGTTTTCTGTTAATGTGTAAAATATAGAAAAATATAGTTTTCTTATTATTAACTACCATATATCGTGTATATGTCTAATTTAAATGTATTAATACAATTATTAACATTAATATTAATTATTATTACAATAATTAATGTAATTACTATTTATCATGTTGCAGTGAATATCAATAGGCGAATATAAGTATGATAATTATGCCAATTTATGCGATTGTCTATCTATTTAAATATTGAAATATTTAAGTCTCTTCCCAAAGTTCTACAAAGTATAAGTAACATGACAAAACAAAACAATGTATGAGATAATAATATAATATGCGTCGTCACGAAAAACTGTCGACGGACCACACGGGTACAAGATGGAAACAGCTCCTATAATATGTAGGTACAGACGATCTGGCGAAAGTGTTTGTGTATACACATTATGTATAAAATAAGGATACCATTGTTTTCAGTCGGACGGTAGGAGTAAAATATAATATACATATATATATGTGTGTGTGTGCGCTCACGTCACAATATTATGTGTGCCAGCGCGGGGAGATCATATCGTATGATATTCTGTACTTACACAGGTAAGGTTATTACCATTCATAAGTGACACGCGTGTATAGTAGGTCCCCTGCGTAGTAGGTACAACACGTCTGCCGCCAGAACCCGTTCACCTGCTATAGATATAATATTATTATAAATTACAGTTTATTACCTACCTAACCTACATATATATATATATATATATATATATAATATTACAATTTATCTGGCTGGTTGTCCAGCAGATACCCACCTCTATATTATTAAACCATCACTCGACCCGCGACTCGCGAGTGCCGCCGTCGGAAAGAACTATCATAATATAGCATACAGTCATTCGGTGATTGGGTATTTTTCGATCGAGAGGGAGCCCGCCGTAGCACCACGCCACCACCTGTATATGCCTACCTCCTAAATATCTATGGTTTTTTACGAACCCGTACCTACGAGAAAACGCCGTGACTAATGTAGGTCCACTGCCTGACGACGGCGGACACATGGACCGATGACCTTATACGTTTTGTATTGAGTAGGCATCCAACCGTTTATAATACTATTAGGTATACCAGCTACATAAGACGGTGTTGTTGCGACTCGTGTACCGAAAGACGCGTGTTACTAATATTTTCTGATATAATATTATTATTTTATTGAACTGTATATAGAAGGTCTAACACGATGCTCGGTGCGACGTTGTTCGAAACGTGTAGAAATAAAATTTCGGTTACTGTTGTAGTATTATTGTCGTTTGGCGTTTTCGTCGGCGGTCAAAGTCTGGGAAAATGTCCGAAAAAAGAGACTATGAAGACATTCAACCCTAAGGAGGTAGGTGAAGTAATATATATAGATAACTACCTACTTAGAACATCTGATGATTATTGCACTATTATATTATTTATATTAAATGCTATATTATAAGTACCTTAGTATTTATCTAAAAATAGTAATCGTGACGTGGTTCACCTTATTGTGATTTCGAGTGGTTGGCGACTGGCAAGGGGTCCCAGAAGGGTCCTTCAATTTTTTAAAAGTCCGCTAAGAAATAATAATTTTGTTGAAATTATTTTACAGTTTGAAGGACAGTGGTACGAAGTGGAGAAAACGTTTTACATGATGGAAATGACTGCTAGTTGCACATCTTTCAATTTTACTTTAAATCCCGATGGAACATCTTACAAAGTACACATTGGAACCAAAAATAGATTGTAAGTGAATAAGCGAAATAATATTTTATAGTATACTTATACCAATGGATTTATGGATATACCATATATTTATATATTTTTTTACCTTAGCTTGCAAATTCGAATATCGAGAGTCTATGCCTATACTTGACAAATTTTCTAAATATTATAAAGACACGCTATATTATACTATTATATTAAACACTATTCATAACATTATTTATAATCAAAATCAGAAAGTAGCTGCTGGTTATAATAATGTATATCTATATACATATTATGTGATGTATCGTATTTTCGTTCTCAATTACTATACATTCTTTTGTCCTTGAAAAAAAATGTAGTTATATTTGTATGATACAATATTTCGAAGAAAGTTAATATAATACTATTCTATTTTTTGAAACCAAAAAGCTGTATTGGATTATCAAACCGGTATACGCATTTAAGACTAGGATAAAATTACGTTAATGACTAGGCTGAGACACCTGTCTGTCTTGACTATATAGCTACGTTTTGAGATTTTATAAGACTTAAGAATCGTTTTAAAATAATATGTAAATAATATTTGATAAACCTACCTATCTAATTCCAGATTGATTTTGAAACTAATGGGTTGAAAATTCAGTAGGTATTAAACTAAAAAAAAAAAAAACAATTTATTAATAACGTATAAAATATAAAATCTCCAAAAAAGTTTCAAATCTATTTGTATTGAAGAATTATTTTTTTTTACACATAAAAACTAATAATAACTATAGGTGTATTTTAAGTGTAATAAATTAAAGTTTTAAGTTCTGAGCTGAACAATGCATCACCTTTTGAAGCACTAAAAATGCTTTTGATTTTTTATTCAATAAATTTCCTGATATTCGTAATCTAGATGATACAAGTGTATTGATTAAAATTTAAAAAAATATACAAATAGAAAAAACTAAATTTTTACGTTTAACTGAGTTTCTTCAAAATCGAATTTGATATAATTTAAAAACAAATGTACTATAATGACTAATGAGTAATAAATATAATGTAGGTAACCACAAATTATGCTTGAAATTTTCACCATATTTTTATATTAGTATTTTCTATAGGTATTTATAGATATTGTATAATTTAAAAAATATTTTAAATATTTTTATATTATTTATTCATTAAATTTAACATTCAATATTACAAAAATTATTATCACTTTTCAAACATAATTTTTTGCATAATTGTAACTTAAGCTATAAAAAAACAATTTTTTTCTAATAACATTTTATTTTTAATGTTACGTTTGTTTTAACTTTTTAAAGACAATGTGCATTTATAATTTCTTAATTTAAAACAGAATATATTTTGGACTACTTCGATGTAGTAAAATCGACTTTTGGATGAGCACTTTATGAAATCAATATTTTAAGTTTAAATTAGCGGAACAGAATTGTTTGATAAGGATACTCTGTAAAACATTGGATAATTACTCCGTCTATTTAAACTTTAAATATTTCTAAGTTGTAAGTAACTAAGAATTTATTGGGTTAAAACTTGATTTTAATTGATCGAAATATTTATAATAATGTTATGTTTTGAGAGGGAACAATAAATTTAGAAATTATAAAAATTTTATTGTTTTTCAAAAATTTTATTTTATTACAATCTTTAATGTTAGGTATGTAAAAAAAATATTTTCAAAAACCTAAATGTCTTTTTAAATGAGTGTCATAAATTAAATAGATCATAATCTTTTATTATTTTTTTTTTTTTTTTATTAATTGACGTTAAGAAATTTCTATATCAAAAGAAAGTAAAAACATTTTTTATAAGCATCGAGAGTTAATTATAAAATTGAGTATTCATATGTCAAATAACAATTTTTCATCAAACTATATTTTTATTTTTTTGTACCTAGTTCTAAAACGAATTACTGTTGAATGTTGGTATTTAAAATGTTGACCAAATATTTACAATAGTATTTGCTATGTACATATAGTACCTATAGTATATTAATAACAAAATAATTTGACTCTTTTTGAGATATGTTTAGATACTTAAAATATAGCTGATTTGTTTTAGTTTTGTTTTAAAAATATTGATAAAAAAATGTTTGCTGACGGTCAAAAAGTTTGAAAAATTAATTCAAGATTTTTCATAAGTTGTTATTAAAACTATTTAAAAATATTAAACATTATATGGCGCAAACATTTAAGTTTTAAATGTTTTTTTTTTCGCTTAAATTTTTCAAAAATTTACAAATTATATTGTAGCTAAAAATGTATGAAGTATTCAATATTAGCAACATGCCAACATATTATTATAGCTTGATAAATTTAATTGATTTTTTTTATACTTTTTATAGATTGGTTTATTTTAGAACTAAATAATTATTTAACAATATTTTTTATAGACAATTGAATTTAAAATTTGGATGAAATTAGATATTAAAACAAACAAAGAATAAATAACTATAAAGTTATTTATTTGTTGTAATTTAAAAATATTATTATTGAGGATTTGAAACTTTTACGTATGTATGTTATTATATTTTATAAACACAATATTTTTCAAAACACTTAATTTACTTTTTGGCTATTGCCTATATTTTATACCATGAAACTATTCAATTCATTCTTTCTATGATAAGGCGGTATTGACTCCAAAGTTAACAAAAATAATAAATTATAGTACATATAATGTATTGTTATAAATTATAATTATAAAATTGTAATAATATAATAAATTTAGTCTGCAAAATTTTACTCATGTCGTATTACTTCTGCTGGGAGGCCTATGTAGTCTGTCTAATCTGTCTTTTATTTATTTTTATTTTATTTTAGCTTGTTATACCATCAATTGTTCTTATTGTTATTTTTTGTAACAGATTGAATAAAAGAAAAATTAAAAAAAAAAGTTTTCACAAAATTTAAATTATAACTTACCGTAACACCGATATTAATATCAATTATTTTAATAGCAATATTAAAAACATAATATCGTGAAATATACTTCGTAATATAGGTTGATCGCTAACAGATTGTCTTCGTTTAAAATCGTTTTTCGTTTAAAGTGATTTATCATAGATTTAAGATTTCATATTTAACATAATATATTCATTACAGTGGTCAGTGATTTACTCAATGACGAGGTACACTCTCAATACCTACTGTATAGTAGAGCGATAGGTAACCTACTTTCCCTCTTTTTTTAATTTTTTAACGATGAGCTGTTATATATTTATAAGACTTAAGTAGGTTGCTTTTTAAAATAGTAATACTTACCCAACACTACCGTAGTTTACCAGTAAAGTGTGGAAAACGAGAAAACATCCGAAAAAAATGTACACGTTGACAGGTATAACCTGTCGGTTCATCTTGAAACTAAGCAACCGTTATGATTAAAAAAAAAAAAAAAGTGGTCCAAAATCTATCCGTATAATGTTGCAAAAAATAAACCTAGATTTTGAATTCAAATCACTGCAATTGTAGTAAAAACGTAACGGCTAGGTACCATATGCCATTAACTGAACAGGTTATTATTGCAATATTGTATACCTATATAATATATAACTGTATTAAAATACATTACCCTTTTATGAGTAGCTATAAGGACTAATAAAGGTGTATGTACTGTTTACATTCACCATATTAATTTCGATATACCATATAGGTATACTCAAAATAATTATTATTTTATTGTCAGGACAGGAAATCCGAACATATTTTCCGGAATGGCGACCCTTGTATCGAAAAACAAATCCGTACTCAACTACCAAGCCGAAAGTCGACTACCAGGTTTGTTTTCGCGTATGATTCCCACCACCGGTATGTATTACATCATGTACTCGGATTACCATAACTATACTGTCCTATGGTCGTGTACGAGTTTTGGTCTTTTCCACACAGGTAAAGAAAACTGAATTTACCAATTATCCTTTTATATAAGTTTCTCACATATAGAATAGCAATACGATATATGATACTTGTGCCTTGTGGTACCTATACATAATAATATGACCGTATTGCTTATCTATAGAGTATATATTGTAATAAATATAGTAATGCTTAGTTTATTGTAAGAACACACGCTGTGCGTAAACGGTCGGGGTCTCAGGAAGTATCAATATTAAAATATTGTTTGCAGATATTATTTGGGTGTTGGGAAGAGAACGAGATCTCACGGCGGCATCCCGGGCTGAACTTTACAACTTATTGTACGAACTGAACATTAATCCTGATCGACTAATATTATCTAAGCACGAGAAATGTGAAGAATTTTTTTGATTTAAATTTCAAATGAAACGCAGACGTCGTTTTAAATCGAAATAAATGTGCTAGTCAATACAGTAAGCCAAATTTGAATAATTTGTACCTATGCTTGATTAGATATAGGTACATAATACAATGCAACATGCCAACATTATATTATGTATGTTCGCAAATGAACACTAATTAACTAATATAATATTGTATATTACCTAGCTTTTATTTTAAAACTATGTTTGCTGAAGAAAAAACATGTACCTATTTTATAATTTGTTATATTGTGTTCGAGTAAAATTAAAATCATAAATTAGTATGCATAACAAGTAAAAAATTCACATAATTATGATAGGTTCTAGTTTTACAATAAAAAAAACAATGTTATTTTTTTAAAGTTGATGCTAATTATTCTCATATATTTATTTTTGGTAAATTATATATTTATAATATAAATATCCTTAATTTTTCAGGTATAATATTATACACACACATTTTCAGTTTTTTCATTTTTAATATGATCCAATAATTAGAACTAAGACAAATATATATGTTAAACAAAATAATTGGATCAACTTTTATTTTTATGTTATAGTAAGTTATATATTGGTATATGATGTAGATTAATCTGTAAGTTTAATTGATTAAATATGTTAAATATTTATCAGAATAGGATGACTTTTAGCAGTTAAAACCATAAAACATTTGTAACTATATTAAAAGACTATAAATATATCATAGTTACTAAAAATAAAAATCACTCAATTGTTTTATTTATTTAAATTATGAAGTCCAGTAGGACTGGACCTAAACCTGATTTAATGTTCCAAGATTTTTTTTCTAAATTTATATAACATTTGACCACATATAAAACATTATATATTAACATATTACTGTATTAAGTATGTAAATTATTATAATTAGATATCAATTTTTTTTTTATTTTTTTTTTGATAATTGATTCATTTAATTTCTTATTTGGAAAATACAAAATGAACTATTCATTTGGAAGATTTTGGTATAATATAAAAAAATTATTTGGTTTCTCCTCTGTATTAAAATATATGATTCACTTTTGCTGTTTATATTTTATTAGTATTATAAAATAACTTTTAAGAAAAATTTATTTTGACTAAACATTATAGTATTCATTAAAGGATATCTTTTTAATACCATTAAAAAATGTATTTAGATCTATTATAACATGAAAACCAAATAATATGATTTATCATTGTGGATTATTAATCTAAAAGAAAATTAAGATTATTGAAAAATGTATTGCATATTATTAGTATATGAATGGGTAGTTTTAATAAAATACAATAAAAAATATCATTACTTTAAAAAATAATAATGCTATTTATTATTTTTATTACATGCAATTAGAAGTCATATAAACATGTAAAAAAAAAATATAGATATTACTAAAAATTAAATGTAAAATAAATATATATGAAACAGTACTTAAACTAATAAAAGTCTTCTCTATTCGTATTTGTACTTCCTTGATTTATAATTTGCACCTGACTATAATACAATTCAGCAATCTGAAAATTAATTATGCAATCATATTAAAAATAACATAATAAAGTTCTCACGATGATTTTATAATGCAAAATATTATCTATGAAAAAAGTTATATCTAATGAGAAACTAGTTACATACAGTTGTATTGTCTTGTATTTCAAAACATTTAAATGTCATCTTCTAGGTTAATAAGTTAATTTAGATTCTAAATATTAAAGTGAAGTAGGTCAAACTATATAAATATGATGAAAGATATAACTTATAATTAAGTATTGCTGTTTTATTCTCGTAATTTAATTATTTGTGAGAATATATAATTAATTTTTTTTTAAGTTTCAAATCTTTTAAATTAAAAATAATTAAAAACAGATTTTTCTATATTTTTTTGAAACAAAATTATGTAATCTAACAACTAAAAATTTAAAAACATTTTTAGGTTAGGTTAAGTGCTCAGTTTATTATTTTGAAGTAATTAATCTGATGCTTTAACACTAAATCATGTCACAGACTTTTTTTTCATTAATACTTACAATCTATATTCAATATGATATAATAAGCAAATTTGTTGTCTTGTATACTAAGCATGGTGAAATGATAAAAGGAAGCATATATAAATACTACTTTAATTCTAGACCTAATATTAATAAATGAAATTAAGTATAAATTCCTATAGCCGATGGTGATTGTGCTGAACCTTTGAAAGCATTCAAAGAACAATTCAGGTTGTGCTTTTATCATAGTCTATCTATCTAGATAGCTTCTGAAAAAAAATCACTGCACCATACACTCACAATATTTATTCAAATGCTCCATTTATTAGTTTAAGCTAAGGTGTATGATTTAATCGACTTCATAAACATTCTTACTAAATACAAGTCTTGGAATTTAAAGGTTAATTTGAGTATTTATAAGACTTAGGACTAATAGAAATAATTATACTAGATCATCTACGTAATTTATTGCAATAACAATTTGTATTATTCTTTACAAAAATATAACTAAAAGGGTTATTAATAGTTGATACTAATATTTGTTTATGACGATTATATACCATACTAATCATAAAACAGTTTTTGCACATGTATAGAAGATATCATAGAGGCCCAGTTTTATCATGCTTCAATAAAATAAATCAACTCTTTCCTGTGTATATGGTCTTAAGTTTAATATTATTATGTTTAAGTTTTAGTTACCTGTTGAGCAGAAGTAGATTGTTCAATTGACTTGTCTTCTCGTATTCGTAGAAACCTTGGAAATCTTAATGAAATTCCTTTTTCAGGATCCACAATACCTAATGCTGCTCTGTGTACCGGAGATAATGACAAATCTGCACATTTTATTTCCCATACCTGGACTGTTTCAAACCAATGATCTGGCTCATGGCTTTGATCAAAGCGGTAATAAGTTTTAGGTCCCTCAATAATATGTTGTTGGAAAAACTCAGTATGAGTTTGTAAATCTTCATCACTAAATCCTGTTCCAATCTAGAAAAACAAATGTATCATTTAAATAAAAATTGTTATGGCTTAAAGAGATATTAAGTATGTAAATATTTAATTACTTTACATATACTCTGATACTCTTCACTATCTGGATCATAACAAGCTAATAGGAAGCCACCATAAGTACCAGTACGTTTTCCACGACCCAAATAACCTCCTAAAACTACTAAATCTATAGTATCACCAACACCATCTAAATAATCTTTTTTTAACTTTAACCAATTGCGTGAACGTTTGGCTATTTCATAAGTAGCTTCTTCTTCCAATGTTTTCACCATTAAGCCTTCACAATTTCCTACATATTTACAAAAAATAAATGCATTTTGTTAAAATTAAAAATATTTATATAAAAGCAGAATTATTTTTATTATTTGTTATTAGGACAAATATAAACATAAACTAATATACTTAGTTATGTATATATAAATACATTTAATCTAAGTTAATATTATTATTTTTATTATTAACATGTAATAGAATTGCGGGTATTCTAACATTTATTTAATAAACAATTTTTATATTTGTACCTTTTATAGATTCTTCAAGAAAATCTTGAACTTCCTCCATTTTGGTCGTATCTAAAGATGTAGCTAACAAAAATTGTTCTTCTACTTCAATAAAGTTTTCTCTTAATAACTGACGACGTTCACAGAAAGGTTTTTTAACTAAAGGTTCTCCATTGAGGTAGAGTAAATCAAACATATATACACATACTTGTACTTTAATATCTGCTTCATTGGCATTCTAAATTATTCACGATACCAAATATTTTAATATATTTAATAAAACTATTTACAAATAATTTACCTTTCGTTTACGAGTACTTAATATTTGGAATGGCATAATTTTTTTATTTTCTCTATCCCATGCAACGGCTTCAGAATCCATCACAAAAGACTTAACATTAGGACCTTTAACGGAATCTAAACGATTAATTATGTCTGGATATTTACTAGTATTATTTTCTTGATTACGACTGTAAATATAAATATTTCCATCTTCTGTCAAATGAATCTATAATTTATAAATAAAACAATAATCTTGATTTCGAAAAGACTGAAAAAGTAAAATTATTATACCTGAGCTCTTTCTCCATCATATTTCCATTCGCATGTAAACTTTAATCCATCAAATCTACTTAGCACTTCGTGAACACCTTTAGTTGGATGTGCTAACATTGGTTTTAAAGGTATACCAGGAGTTAACTTACAATTTTCTGGTAAGGCACTAACACCCATTTTTAAGATAATAGGTATTATTATATCTAAATTTGGGCTTTCACTACAAATACATGTTAAAAATGTTTAAATTAAAAAGAAATATGTGCAAAGTTATTATTTGTTTAATTACCAATAAGTTGTTTTTATGATTAAAGTATTTGCATCATAAATTTTTTTAAATTTTTCTTCAGACATTGTTTTGGTTGCATCAAGTGTTTCAGGTGGGAAATCTTGAGGTGGTGGTGTCATTGTGCAAGCTAAACCAAGAGCCTGGAAAAATCATATGATACATTAACTTTTTAATATATTTCTTAAGTATTTTTTAACTTCTTTATTAATATCAATAAATAATTAAAATTTTGCTGTTATAATTGTTTATATAAATTATATTAAATAACTGTGATGATGTTTTATTTATATTGAAAAAATCACTCATCAATATTTAATAATAATTCAATTATATTTACCTGTAGAACTGATTGTTCAGCAAGTCCTATTCTTAATTTTCCAGCTAATGATCGCATCAAAAATCTAGCTTCAGAATCTTGACATGCAATAAACATTGATTGAATTTTATCAAGTTTTTTAACAGTTATCTATAATATTTAAAATGTATCATGGAATAAAAATAATTAGAAACTGGTTAAGATTAACTAATTAGAGAAAACTTTAATTAATTAATATGCATACCGCTTGACCAGTCATTTCTGAGATATCCTTTAATTTATAAAATACACTTTTCACGGTTAAACGGGCAGGTTTAAACATTGTTTTTTGATTACTTTTACTTTTTTCTGCAACAATTCCTAAATCACCAGTTTTTTTAACATCAGATTTTACCTGTGCCATGCTCCTTCCTGTCGTTTGAACTATAGCCTAAAGAGTAACAAAACATTTTTCATGCAGTAATAAATATTAAT